CACCCCCCCCCCCCCCACCACCACCTTTATAATGAAAGCATAGGTGCACTCGAACAATCATTCATTAAAACGCATAAAACTTTAGTTTACAAAGACGTGAAACTCACGCGAGTGGTCTGGGGTGTTCACTGATATGCTCACACAAAAATCACTGCAAAAATATGCTTTTATCGTAGTTTTTGACCAAGTCCATTTTCTTGCTGTTTTTGGTGGAAGGCCACAATAGTCGATTATCGAGTTTGCGCGCGTGATCCTTAGTCATCTAGTTACCAATGATGCGTTTACCAATGATACCAATTATGCGTTTTTATGAATGATTGTTCGAGTGCACCTATGCTACCATTGTAAAGGTGGGGGGTGCTAACACAGAATCCAAAAATTCTCGTGACAGGAGCATCTGTCTAAAAAACAATCTTAACTATTCTATTTCATCAGGGACGATCTTAAAACAGGGCTTTAATTGTAAAATACCGAACTTGTCCTTTAAGTTCCTAGGACATCCCTGGAACAACTTAATAAGCCCAAATATGTGGCAGGAGACTGAACTGATATCATCATTGGGCCAGTCCTGTTGCTGAGCCCATATTGATCACTAGATAAAAGGACAATGGCATTTGGCATTTAATCAAAGGAGGGCAGATAGTGAGAGTTCCAGATGAACAGAGCGAGAGAGAAAGACACAGATGCTTAGTGATGTTCATTTGTTCAATAACACATTCATGATATGTGATCACACATAATAATGCTTGTGTATGTGTACTTGCGTGTATAAGCAGGATGTGTGTGTATAGATGTAAAGTGTGTGCGTGTGTGTGGTTATAACTATATTTCACAGTGAAATTCTGTTCAGCATCAGATTCATAGATTTCCAAATCTGTTCTCAGTGGATTTTTTTCATTTAGACTTTGGTCCTCGTCCATGTAAAGTAGGTAATTTGGCAGCATAATCTGTCCTGTTAGATGAAACTCTCGGTGGATCAGCGAAGAGACGTACTTGGCAGTCTTGCACTTACTCTGTGGGTCTCTGTGTGTGTGTGTGTCCTCTCGGGACTCATGAATGCAGCTGGAGTTAAACTATGGGAAGTATCGTACAGGATCACCTGAGGAGTTTGCTTGTCCAGTCCAAGTCCTCATTGTTTCTCAAGTGCAGTCCTGCTCGCTCATCGTGAGAGTTTTGTCAGAGAAATTGAGGTTAATTTCCATCTTTATAGACCCTAGAGCCACCCTCTTTCTTTCCTTCTGCCCATCATCCTCCTGGTTGTTGCAGTAATTAGCCAGGCATTGGTTCACATGTAAAAGGGACAGATCCCGAGAGAGAGAGAGAGAGAGAGAGAGAGAGAGAGAGAGCTTTAAGCTGGTCCATTCATCAGGGCTGGAGACGAAAATGCCAGTCCATAAACCACAGAGAGAAAGAGAGTGAATTTATGTGCCCTGATGTCTCACATATGCAGAATCCAGCTATTATAATAGTAATGGCATATTTGCTTGCAATTTTATTTCATCAAAATGCACTACTAAATTTAAATGGCCATCAATCAATGATATGATTTACAGCCAGATTACCTACCTTCTGATGATGAGGGCGGGACCACCTGTCAATCACATGAGATCAGCCAATAGCAAACCACAACCCTCGAATCAAATCTCACAGACAAAATCAAGCCCCGACCACATTTGTTCTTGCTCCAGAAGCGCTTCACTCGGATATTTAAGAAATGTGACTCAGTACCACTGGAAAACACTCTATGGGAGAACCCTATTTATTAGAGAGTACTCTATTTTTATTCTTTTTTTTTTTTCTCTAACATCAAGTATTGCTTTTAGAATTGTACTATAAATCAAATTTTTCTAATATTTAATGAATTTATATTTAGCTTTTCAGCCATTTTTACTGCCCTAATTTGCAGCCAGAATAACTTAATAACAGGCAGGGCAACCTGTCAATCAAATGAGATCAGCAAATAGCAAACCACAACCAGCCAATCAATTCCCCACAGAAAAAATCAAGCCCCGCCCACATTTGTTCTTGTTCCAAAAGCGTTTCACTCGGATGAAAAGACATGCCGACTTAAAATAGTGATTGTATTCGCACTGGAAAAGCGTCACAGCAGTGTGCAGAAGAAGTATGAAGCGTCTGATCAGTATGCGGAAGTCCAAATTCAAATACCATTTCTCTGTCAGTTACACGAAGATAAGTCGACACAGGCCGTGAACAAGGAGAAGCACAGCACTGGCTCAGCGTTCACTGCAAGTGTGGGAAGGTTAGAGGATAATATTGCAGGTTAGAGGACCCAACGAGTCAATGTATAGACAAATAATGTATGTAGGAACTAGATTTTCTTTCAAATATACATATAAATACACTACAGAAGCTTCTGGAGTCGTTTTTGTGAGAAAATTTTACTTCCGCATCTGAAAATGGGCGTGGCGGACGAGAGAACGGTCCGCTTTAAGACGTCACAGGAGTCAAAATTGGTTGTTTTTTTTTTTTTTTTTTTTTTTTTTTTTTTTTTTTGGCTAGCTTTCATTGATTTTTGGGAAAACCCCAAAAATATTGCTCTTAGAAGATGTTTTTGTTTTGAATCATCTGTGAAACCATTGTGTAATTAGCAATTGTTGGCCAAGACATATTTTCTGCTTTCTTTTCCACCTTATCTTGCTGAGACCGCGTGTTTCCCAGTGACCCGTTCTTCCTGCGAATCTACATCTGAAATGTTTTTATTGAAGCTTTTCTTGTTTAAAATGGCACATCCCGTTTCTTCTCATGCACTCGCTCACTTCCCATCTGTATACGTCCCCTCTTATTTTCTTTCTCTCCTGTTTTCACACTCTCCCATCCTCTCTTTGACTCATCTTCTCAGTCACACACTCGCGCAGTGATTCAGAGAGAAGACACGCTGAGTTTCTGTTCCTCAATGAACGCTGCCAAAAGAAGGGGTAGTTTGGCACTCGACCAACACACTGAAATAACGTACCCCGATCACCTCAACCTACACGCCTCACACACACACACTCCGATTTTCTGCTTCTAATGTTCCGTGACTAAAGATGCCCATCTGTGCTCATAGCGCCTCGATATTCTATTCAGAAATATAGATGCCATCAAAATATGATGCAGTTCGAGGTGATCAGAAATGAAAGGAATCTTTCGACTGTGACTATTTTACTTCGTCATGGACTGATTCTTTCTCTCTAAAGAAGCAAAAGAATCCTGTTCTTGTCTTGTTTTCTAGTAAATATATCTCAATGTCTTCAAAAAACTTACATTTAACTGAGAAACAATATTGCATAAGATGATAATAAAATATAAGTGTAAATTTGAGGTTCTACGTTTTATCATTTAGATTTTTATGCCTTAAATTTAAACATTTAGATTTTTTTTTTGTGTGTGTGTGTTTAATATACAGTAGTTGTTGTTTATGATTGAAATGTCACCCATGTAAAATCATCATTATTATTATCAACCATATTTTTGGGTGAAAATATTAACTTGTCTAAGACTTTTGCACATTATATATATATATATATAAAATATTAAATATTGCACATTTTATATATATATATATATATTAATCGCATCCAAAATAAAAGTTTGTGTTTACATAATATATGTGGGTGCACTGTGTGTATGTATATATATATATATATATATATATATATAATATAAATATAAATACACACATGCTTGTATATATTATATTAATTTTAATATACATATAATTTTCTTAAATATACATACATGTGTGTGTGTGTATATATATATATATACACACACACACACACACACACCATATATACACTATTATTCACCAATATTCTACACATTTAAACAGTATCACAGAAAAAATGTATTTATCAAATTTGTGATGGGGCCAGAAATATTTGGCATGAAAAGTAGAAATCTGAACCACTGGGCCAGCAAAAAAAAAAAAAAAAAATCATATTTTTATGTCCTGGAGTGTATTTTTCCTCTCCATATTTTCATTTACCATGTTGTAAGTATAAACCAGCATTTTTGTATTTATTTTTTTTCCTTGCCTTTCCATTATTGTAATTTTCTGACATTTCCAGGCTGCAGTTTCCTGATGAATAGTGCTACTTAATTTTTCCTATTTGTTCCTCTTTGTCTTTTTTAATTTGCAGTTTTTGCATTACCGCATCAAATGTTGTCCAGTGGGTGTAAGGGTCAGTGAAATTGTTTGTTTGCCTGGCTGTTAGTGTTTTTTCCCCCATGCACAGCTTTCCCCTTCACTGGAGACATGCTGTGCTGTAAAGACATGACCATTACTGGAGCGAGTGACAGGAGTCGAGCACACACACTCATAATGCAGCATAATCACTGAAAATTGTGCCATTTCTCAGTCCTTTTCACAGATAATGATACTGCGTTTGCTCTCTTTCAAGAAAAACAACCGAATTAACAATTGTCATCACAGTGTAAATGCATTAGTAGCCCTTCTACTTGGGCACCTAAAGGCGTAGTGGTGTGAGCGTACAATGGCTTTAACTTTATTGTGCAAAAAATGACAGCCACTATTATGACTTTTATCAGCACAGATATGAGGAGAGTATTTGTGAGGCGATGAGTAAAATTGGCAGTGAACTTCACCTGACCTTGATCGTATTTCTAGCTGGAGGAAAAAAATCCAGTCTATTTCATTTCACTAATTACGATATATTCTTGTTAGGTTCTAGTAATATAGGTTATTATAATAGTTAATCCAATTTCACACAAGGGCCTGGATAATAAAGGACATTTACAACGATGATTTAGTTGAGTTATGCCATTTTATTCTTCATAAATGTTCATAAATCTGTAGTGTGTGTGTGTGTGTGCAGGTCGAGTGCTGATGAGGCTCACCGACAGAAAGCTGGAGCAGATGTTAAACAGATGTTGGTGTGTGTGTGTGTGTGTTCAGGTTGAGCGCTGATGAGGCTCACCGACAGAAACCTGGAGTGGATGTTAAACAGATGTTGACGTGTGTGTGTGTGTGTGTGCAGGTCGAGCGCTGATGAGGCTCACCGACAGAAAGCTGGAGCGGATGGGAATAATGCAGGAGAGTCAGAGACAGTTCATCCTCCAGCAGGTCCTGCAGCTCCGCGTCAGAGAAGAAGTCCGAACCCTGCAGCTGCTCACACAAGGTACACACTCTTTCACACACACACACACACACACACACACACACACCTGAACATCTCAATACACCTCTCGGTACACACACACACACCTGAACATCTCCATACACCTCTCGGTACACACACACACACCTGAACATCTCCATACACCTCACGGTACACACACATCTGAGATCTGAACATCTCCATAGACTTCTGATGCATTTACATGCGATGAATTAGATGTACTTCACCTTAACCCTGCCTACATAGATTTTAATTAAGGGATTACTCTATCCTTTTATGAACCATTTTTATGAACCTTTTTTTTTTTTTTTACTGCAAGTGCCTAAAATATGTAGTTAAGCGTATTGAGTAATGATGCCTGTCCTTTCTTAAGTCTGAGGGACGGACGGACGGACAGATAGATAGACAGTACAGACAGACCTATGGAATGACAGATGGATGGACACATTCTTTCTCCATTGAAGTACATATAATTTGCACAGCAGCTGTGTGTGTGTGTGGGTGTGTGTGCTCTCGAGTTCATCAGGATTCAGAACTCTTGAGCTCTGTGTTTACAGGCTAAGCATTCCTTGAAAGAGCGAGTTAGTGATTGAAAAGGAGAGAAACGGTGGTATTGTTTGGTAAAAGCTCCAGCTGTCACTGCTGTTAGTTTTCTTTCTGATATACACACTGAATTAAACAATGACGTGCATGAGAACGGAGCGGACACACACAGTTGCTGCCCAAATCAGCCAGAGTTTGCAACAGTCCAGTGAAGGACAGTATAGAGTAAATAGAGTAAAGTCTGATAGAGTAAAGCGAGTTTAACACCGTTTCTTAATCAAATGCCATGCGATAAGATTCCAGCGACAAGCAATTTATTTGTCCACACCAGAATATGAGAGACGTGTCAAAAACAATCCAAAATCACAGCCAAGGTCTCTGTGCAAGGACACTGCACTCACAGCCAATAAGAAGAGAGTGTGGGCGGGGTCCCTGTGCAAGCACACTGCACTCAGTCAATCAGAAGAGAGTGTGGGTGGAGTCTCTGTGCAAGCACACTGCACTCACGGCCAATCAGAAGAGTGTGGGCGGGGTCTCTGTGCAAGCACACTGCACTCACAGCCAAACAAAAGAGAGTGTGGGCGGGGTCTCTGTGCAAGCACACTGCACTCACGGCCAATCAGAAGAGTGTGGGCGGGTCTCTGTGCAAGCACACTGCACTCACGGCCAATCAGAAGAGTGTGGGCGGGTCTCTGTGCAAGCACACTGCACTCACGGCCAATCAGAAGAGAGTGTGGGCGGGGTCTCTGTGCAAGCACACTGCACTCACGGCCAATCAGAAGAGAGTGTGGGCGGGGTCTCTGTGCAAGCACACTGCACTCTACATGCTTAATCAAACTCATAAATATTTGACTATTTTAATATTATTAAAAATGCATACTGATTCACTGAACCAATCTTTGTCATAGAATACACTTGTTTGTTCACAGTTTGAACACTCCTTTATTGTATTTTCAAGATCAGAGGTTATAACTGTTACGTTATAAGATGCATGTGATGAAATGTTTAGCTTATTTACATCTCCACTGAGTCGAGCGTCTGTCACGTGTTGATGCCGTTGCCCTGACACAGGAGGAGGAATACAGTTTATTGATGACGTTGTGTGTGTCTGTAAAGCAAACCGTATAAGTCAGCGTCCTCACAGAGTCCGAGAGTCTGGAAACTCATGCTTGGGTTCACGCAGTCGAACATTAGCTGAAATCTTCAGCGACTAACAGCTTTATTGTGTTCTGGCTGTCAGTATCATGTAGACAGACAATAATTAACCTTTAGGGCTCACTGGACCATGCAGGGAAATAATGAGATTCTGGCTCCTGCGAATGTCAGATCACGGCCGCCGAGGCTTTATCGCTTACAGTGACCCGGGCGAGAACACACAATGTTTTTACTTCATGTAACTAAATGGGATTACGACACATTTCTGGCGGGGCTTAATGTTTATTCACAAGCCTGCGACAAATCAAAGCTCTTCTGAATTCAGAGATTCAATGAACCCTCTGGTACTCTTCACCCAGCGGTCAAAAAGACAAAAAAAAAATGTTTTATTTGTATATTTTCAAGGAAATGATTGTTTTATTCAGGTCAAACTCAAAAAATTCGAATATGGTGCAAAAGTTAATTTATTTCAGTAATTGAACTTAAAAGGTGAAACTAATATATTATATAGACTCATTACATGCAAAGTGAGATATTTCAAGCCTTTATTTGTTATGTTAATGATTATGGATTACAGATATCAAAACCTTCACAATATTCTAATTTTGAATTTGTGGTTTTCATAGGCTGCCATAATCATCACAATGATAACTAATAAAGGCTTGAAATATCTCACTTTGCATGTAACTAGTCATAATATATTAGTTTAACCTTTTAAGTTGAATTACTGAAATAAATGAACTTTTGGATTATATTCAAATTTTTCGAGTTTCATCTGTATTTTAGTTTGATGATGATTTTATTTAATATTTAGTAATTTTATGGGATTTTATGGTACTAAATTATATTTATGCTGTAGTTATAATCCATTACAGGTTTTAAATTGGCTTCTGGTTGTTATTTGATTCTGTAAGCGGCTCAAACACACACCAAGCAGAGGTTATGGATGTTATAGATGTTATGGATGTTATAAATGTTATGGATGTTATAGATTTTATGGATGTTACGGTTGTTACGGATGTTATGTATGTAATAGATGAGATGTTATGGATGTTATAGATATTACAGATGTTACGGATGTTATAGATGTTATGGATGGATGTTATGGATGTCATAGATATCATGGATATTATGGATGTCATGGATGTTATAGATGTTATGGATGTCATAGATGTTATGAATGGTATAGGTGTAATAGATGTCCATAACATCAGGGCAGTGTTCAGGGTTCAGAACGCTGTGTTCCTCTGATTGGCCATCGCTGCTCATTAACATGCAATTTTCAAGCAGAACCTTCTTTATTGAAGCTGAACATCTCACGATTTATTTTTATCTCATGATGATCTCATAATTTTTTCGCCAGCCATCCTCCCACTGCTGATTAAAATACCCTTGAAATCGAGAGATTCCTACTTCCACTTCAGTTTCCATGTTTTTCAGTGAACTGATTGTACTATATTTAAGTTTGATAATGTTTTTTTTATTATTTATTTAATTTTAGCGGGGTTTATGCTGCTAAATTATATTTATGCATTAGTTATAATCCATCTATTCACTTTTTGAGGACTGACCTATTTCTATCAACATTTTTTTAAAGACAACACTTGGCAGATTATTGCTGAAGTGAACAAAGTGATTTTTAAAAAGTTATGTATTATGAAAAATGCACAAAATACCATTTTTATTTCTTCTAATATAATATTATCTAATATATTTATAGTTTTACTATAAAACTGTGATAATTCAAAGTCGAATTCTGTGTGGCTCTAATATGCAAACTGAATTATGGATGATAAGGCAGACATTTTCATAGTTGAGCTAGAGGCTCCACATCACATCTGACCTGGGTCCTGCTGCATTTGCGTGCCGCCAACATTATAGTCTCAAGTCATGTGCAGTTGCGCACAAGAAAGTCAGCAATCATTGGACATTTCAATCAAACAACAATTTAAAGAAATATTAACATACAGTTATAATCATGACATATTTTGAATGGCACTCGAGTGGACTCGGGAATAATTCCGAGTCCCGACTCCCAATATGTTCGAGTACGAGTCAATTCCGAGTCAAAATGCACACGATGACAAGGCCGAGTCCATTAAAATATGGACTCAAGACCGAGTCCGAGTCTCGAGTGCACAACACTGCCAGAAGGTTAAGCCCAGTCAGATGTGTTTATTTTAATAAAAGCACAAAGTGTGTGTAAGATGTGGACAGTGTGTATTGTGTTGGACTCACACGTATGGACTGGATCTGAACGTTTCTCCTCTCCCCGGAGTGAGATCAGGCTTATTATTTTGCCAGTGGTGACAGATATCAGAACCCAAATCAAAATGAAATCATCCGTACGAAAATGAAAGCCAGCCATAGATCATAAACAAGCAACAATAGACACCTCGCAAAACACTGACGCTTGTGTACGGCCTAATCACTCAGTCAGAGTTACTTCTCATTACTGTTAAATCTGGATCAAGGCTACATCAAATATTACTCTTCAGGGGAGACAAAAAATCATCTGCACTGATATGATAAAAATTGAAATTTATGAATCGGTCAGTTCAGAAACGAACGAGTCTTTTCTATTCTTGCTTTCTTCTGTTTTGTGATTGGAGTGTCTTGGTGAATTTTACCCGAACATAAAACAGCCTCGTTTTAATCATGATAAGGCTATTGTACAGATTATGAATTATTGCATACATGTGTCAAATCTCAGAGGTTGTTATACAGGTTTTAATGGGCTGTGAGTTTTAAGAACAGTCCAACGCTCATCTATCAGAGCAAACGTGACCAGAAACAGAAAGTTGTTAATATTTCTAATGATAGTAATTTATTAATGCCACACTGTGACTGTGATGCTTTAACGTGTTTGAAGAAAAAGCTAAATTTGTAATTGTTTTAAAAAAAGTTTTTATTAACATATTAATTTTTTCTGTCTATTTCGATTGATTGGAAACAGTTAGCATCTGGTATTTTTACAGCAATTTTATTTTGGTATCATTTAGATACTATTATTATTATTAGTTTTTTACTAAATATTTTATTAAGATATGTGTGTGTGTGTGTGTATGTGTTTGTGTGTCTCGTGGCAGTTGTGATGGGATCTCTATTATGAAGATTATTATAAAGATTATGAAGATATTATATGTGTGTGTGTGTGTTTGTGTGCGTCCATGTGAGTTTGCGTGTGTCCGTGTGTGTGTGTGCGTGTCCGTGTGTGTGTGTGAGTGCGCTCTAGGGTGCGCTCAGTGGTTGTCTCTCTTGGGGTCTTGGTGGGAAGAGGTGCAGATTGGTATCATTATTTC